TAGGTGTTTCTGTACTCTGTCCCTGAGGAGCTGCAACTTAGGCGAATCTCAAGAGGAATGAAGGAGGAGAGTTAAATCTGTGTGTGTGTGTGTGTGTGTGTGTGTGTGTGTGTGTGTGTGTGTGTGTCTTTAGCTTAACGATGGCCTACATTGTAACAACAAATTCACTGTGTGGGTTTTGGGAGTGGAGGGGAGGGGGGGGGGGTTAACGGTGTACATTTCATCATGGCCCATTAAATTATTACGAACATGTGTGTTGATATGGTCATCGAGAACACTGCCAGCGTTAGTACAGCTGTGTAAGTATATGACTCAAATACTCTTTTAGAATGACCCGTGATTCGCAATGTTTACCTTTCCATTTAAACGCAGCGATCTACTGATACAACCACAGTTTATAACCCATAACTTTATATAAAAAAAAATCCTCGCTTCATTGGAAACTAAGCGAGAGGAACATCAAATTTGGGGGCCATAAAACTCGATTTTTATTATTAAACCAAAATAATTTACTTGAAATCTAGTGATGACAAGTTACTGTATGTAAGACACATGTGATGTGAGGTACAGCCACGCAGCTCTCCTGGCTATGGCTGACCTGTGTACAGTACCTCAAGTTTTAGGAAATTGGACCATGGAAATACTGTACATACTATACTCGGTTACTTACTTCAATGGTTCTAGTGACAACCTCAACTGTGGAGTAAATAATACTAGACTATTTTCACAGGGGTGATCGTCCCCAATCTCTGACTCAACACAAGAACTTGGAGAGTAAAACTGGCTTTGACCGTCACGGTAATACTACACATGTACAGTACTGTGTTAGCAGACTGCATATACTGTAGAGCGTGGTGCAGCGAATGAGTAGCTGGATGCTCACACGCCGGGGTATAATATGGGTGACCTCGAGCATGTTATCAGACGAGCACAACAAGGTGTAAACACCAGATAATAAGAGTTATGAGAGGGAACAACTGTCGTCAACACTACGTCACAACACACCCACTCCTGTCTACGTCTAGTGATACTTCCGCTGCCCGTCCCCTCTTCCCCCCTCTCATTATTATTACTTGAAGCTTTAAATGTCGTCCTCGTAGTGAAGGGATTAAGTAATGAGATGGTAATAGTAGAACAGAATTGTGACGGTCGCCATGTGTTTTAAAGAAGATGGATATGACGTCAGAGTTGGCCTGTTACAATGGTCACGGAGTGAACAATGAGAAATACACGAGCAGGTGGTTCATCGCGTGCATCGTGTACTATGGCACGTGCACCACCACTGCCATACACACAAGTACCAAGATGAATCACAATCCGAGAACGACGACCTCAAGACACCAGTGCTGCGTAGTAGTGTAAGGTGATAGGTCAGCGGCGTTCATGTTCACTGACCTATGACATTGGTTTGTTTACTGGTGGTATCACTTGTACCGAGTCTCAAGGTAATGCAGTGCTTTATCTTATCATTCCTTATAAGCGGGTCAGGGTGTGTGGCGACCCCCGGCGTGTTTAAAAAAAAAACACGTTTTCCCATCCCCCCCTCCCCCTTGAACACAACAACCCACTTCACTTAACCTTACTCACCCAACACGACAATATGACTATTAGTTAAAAAAAAAGGCTGGAGATGTGCGATTTTGTGCTGTATAATTCTAGTGAAGGTGTTTTTTTCCGGCGGGGAGTGGCGACTCCTCACCACCCAGGCCAGATGTACACATGCCCGATTGCACCCCAATTTTAACAACCGGCATCCGCCATACGTGCACCTCTTGGCTCTTGCCACACAACCTTACAACACCTCCCTGTTGTATCGTCAGCCTCACCATCCTGGCAAACATAATGCTATTATTATTACTAACACAATAGATCTATAAACTCTCTTGTACACATAATATCTGTGTATGGCTCGAGAGATAATTATGCAGGTACACAGAGACGTGACAAATTGTAAACCAACGGTGAGTGTGTAAGTTGTGAGAGAAGCAAACACGAGCCAGCGACCATCGAGGGTTAGTGACTAGTACTGTCCTATCGTGTACAAAAGTCCCTTCCAGTAACCAGCCGCATTGTGAGTTCAAATCACCTGAGGTTGAATCAGTGAAACAGGTGAAGTAAGTGTCTTGATGGGCCGACACTTTTGTGCACGATAGTACCTCTGGTCTTGTTGAGGTTGCTTGTGAGGCTCATAGCTAGTTTGTGTTGGTCCTGCTTCCCTCTCTTCTATTGTACTGCCGTGACTCTACCTACCTACTTTATATACCTGCCTGTCTCCTCCTCCTCTACCATCTCTACAACCTCCCCCTGCCTTCTCTCTCCATCACTTCCTCAAGTTATCCCAACCACCATCTCCATCACTTCCTCAAGTTATCCCAACCACCATCTCCATCATCCTTACCACCAACACCACTTCCTCAGTTATCATTACAACCACCTCCCCTTCCTCCATCATCCTCACCACCACCTCCAGTAGCCCGACTAATACTACCCCCCCGCCCCACACACACACACACACACACCATCCCCATCATTCTCCACCACACATCCACTCCGGTCCGTGTACGTGAAAACCTGTGGCCAAAAAGACTTGTAAAATTATATCTCATATAGTTGTCGGTCGCTCCAATAAAGATCATATTCTGAGACTGTACGTCAGGTTAGGTTAAGTTGAGAACATAAGAATGAAGGAAACTGCAGCGGGCCTATTGGTCCACTCTGGGCAGTCCCATTTACACCCAACCCCTATCGCTCATATATCCATCCAACCTATGTTCGAAGCTATCCAGCGTATTCGAGTTAATGATGATGTTTGGTAACTTGTTCCATTCACCCACTACTCTATTTCCAAACTAATATTTACTTATCTCACGCCTAAATCAAAATTTGTCTAATTTAAAACGTAGGGTGAGATGTACAGTGAAGGGCCTTCCGCGTGTGTATCACCTGTATGTGCTTAACAGAGAAGTGACCGACCGACCACCCGACTGGCTAGTGATCTGATAAGTGGTGAAGAGGATAATCTATGTGGGTTAATTAATGAAGACTCAGATTATAAGCTTTGCCTTATCGTGTGTGTGTGTGAGTGAGAGAGAGAGAGAGCGAAAGATAAGCGAGGTCTTAACTTTCTCCTACGTAGGCACTGTACCGTATAATTTGTGTGGTGGTGTTTGCTCGGGATATCTTGGTGAAGGTAACTCCTGGTCTTAGCATCTGAGTGTTTTATGGCCCTCGGCTTCCTAAGTTAGCACTGACTTGATACTGTTTACACCTTTAGCTCGACCCGTTTAAATTAGAGATAAAGAGGCGCTGAGTGCTGCAATTATATTTCAGTATTATGTCCTTAACGGGGGTATATTAGTGAAAATGTTTGTGTCGTCATGTTACCTACACACCAGACCACCACCCATCCCACCCCATCCTCCCCCGGCCCGTTGGAAGTGACAAGGTCTGGCTGATGCCCCGGGTAAGATGATCGGTGGCACGACTTGTGTACTGGGGAGATTACCGAGTCGCCCAAACTGTATTGTCTCACGAAGTTAAGCATGAGCACAACACACACACACACACACACTATATGGATAAATGATAACACAAATCAATTAATATAGTGAACGATCTCGTGAAATAATGTCACATGATAACTGACACGTGGAGGGGAAGAACACGTTATCTTCCTGGAGACACAACCTCAAACACCCTCACGATAACTTCCTTGAGATTATAACATAAGTCCAGGAGAGTCATGTAGGTCCTGGAGAACTAAGAAAATTAAATTTTGAGTCAAAGACTCCATGGAGACTCACAAAGATTCCATGGAGAGACACAAAGACTTCATGGAGAGTCACAAAGATTCTTGATATATACAAATGGTTTTCTGGAGAGGTTCTCTTGAAGGCCTCCTGGAGAGATTCTCTTGAAGGCCTCCTGAAGAGATTCTCTTGAAGGCCTCCTAAAGAGGTTCTCTTGAAGGCCTCCTGAAGAGGTTCTCTTGAAGGCTTCTTGGAGAGGTTCTCTTGAAGGCCTCCTGAAGAGATTCTCTTGAAGGCCTCCTGAAGAGGTTCTCTTGAAGGCCTCCTGAAGAGGTTCTCTTGAAGGCTTCTTGGAGAGGTTCTCTTGAAGGCCTGCTGAAGAGGTTCTCTTGAAGGCCTCCTGAAGAGGTTCTCTTGAAAGCCTCCTGAAGAGGTTCTCTTGAAGGCCTCCTGAAGAGGTTCTCTTGAAGGCCTCCTGAAGAGGTTCTCTTGAAGGCCTCCTGAAGAGGTTCTCTTGAAGGCCTCCTGGAGAGGTTCTCTTGAAAGCCTCCTGGAGAGGTTTTAATAATGACCTGAAAAGAATCGTCTCTCAAAAAGCTCATTAATCCCATTGGTGAATAAGGCTTCATTGAGAGCCTAACTTAGCAGAATTGAAGCCTCAGAAAGAGCCTTAACCCTTTGGCTCCTGGGGTTTCCCTAAGCTGAATAAAATAGCCTCATTAAGAGAACCACCACCTCATGCAGCACCCCTGACGCCCCTACCTTGGCAGGGACCTTTGTGTGAGACTTATTAGAATCTGTATTATTTTATCAACTTCTCTTTTACTAAATGTTACATGCATGTAATTTTTAGACAGCTGAAGGACGCTAAAGTCATTTATGGCGACAAATATCAGAGCTGTGGTGCTGGATGCCTGGTTAGGTTACCTGTGTGTTGGCTACTTTGCTCGGTGCTCCGTAAGAAGCTTCTCTATTACCTATAATACACCGTGAAAAAGTAGATACACCCATATACCTCATCAAGTGCGTTCACTGGATTATTACTGCAGGAAGTACCGAAAATTGTACCTATATGTCTTTGATAACTTTTGGACAAGAATTTAAACATTTTGAGTGACGGTTTTATCATCTCACTGGGAAATATTAAGAGGTGAATATGAGGTTTTGCCGGTAGGAAGGTTGAGATGGGACAGTTGCCATAGTGACAGGTAGACAAGCAATCGGTGGTGGTTGGTAGGAGGCAGAACTTACTCGTTAGGCTGATCCTTCTCACTCTTGAACACGACTGGCATTGTGAGGTGTTGTGGTCACTGCCTGCCGCTGGTTCCTTGGCTCACCCACAACAATATCTCCACTTGAGTGTTCACTTGGGGACGCGTGTCTCTCACCAGACCTGAGTGAACGTCTCTCCCGACACTAGCTGAGTCATACACTGTCGCCTCCCACACCGAAAACGTGAGAATCAGCTGGTTCCAGACAGGAATACCGTGTGCAAGATCTTGCTTGGAATCTAAAAAAGCGTTGCTCGCCGTCCCTGTGCCGCTCACTTACACCTACCTGTACAAATAGCACTACTAGAGTGATGACGGCACTCACAAGGCATCACACCTCAGCTCACTTATCAGTTAAGGCGGGGAACATGACACGAGGTGGAAATGTGGCAACCGCGCGCACACGCTGGTCACGTGCTCACTCGTATTGATCATTTGCGAAGGACGAAGAGGTCGACGCCGGAGTCGCGAAACATTATGAAACTTAACACATTTATTGTTATTATTGTGTTTAATACATATAGTGAGGGGAGTCTCAACAGTACGTCTAGGTAATGGTGTTAAAGAAAGGTACAGGTTTAGTGAGGCGAGGACGGCTGAGGAGAGGCAGGTGTAGTACAGGAGTGTATTAAGGTGGACCCCAGATGTGTAGTAGCACACAATGTACACCTGTGTCTTATGTAGTGATTTACCTTAAACACAGATATTATACTGTAGTACCCCGTCACCTCACCCACCTCTACACCCTCACGTGTTATCAGATTTTTTCACAAGTGGTTACTATTTTTTTAACAGTTTACGGATACTGAAGTAAAAGTGTAGTATTTTCATAAACCGATCAACGACACCAGTTATGACCTCTGTACCTCACATAATGTCTCTATAACCTGGGTGGGTGGTTCTTGCACAACTGTAGTACTCAAAGATTTGTATGTCACTTTTTTCCCACACTTGATAATGAGGGAAAGCCAATAGGTTATGGTAGATCATCATTGTAATTTTGGTGTCATATTGGCGGCCATCTTTGTGGCTTTACTTAAGTTAATCAGTTTGTGGGGAAATGGAGCCTCTGTGACTCCGACCAGCTGTGCCCGCAACACACACACAGCGACTCAACACACATCTCGTATAGGTGTGTGTGTGTGTGTGTCGTAAGATAGGCCACCGGTGTCGCCTTTAGCCGCCTTTAAAATTTTCCCCTTATCATCAGGTTAATTTACTGTAAGACTTATGATTCTAAATTCTCAAAGTTTGGCAAGTTATCCCACAGCCTCACTGAAGCGGGGTGTGGTGTTTTATTGCGAGTCGCACCTCAAACCTCAGCAAAGTATCCTGTGGTCTTAATAATACTGTATCTACATGTGTTCCCCACCCCCTTGTATTTGTTTAATCTTGTACAACACGCACACACACATAAACACACGCGCGCACTGGTATAAAGACACACACACATTACTAACACACACACATACACGCACAAACACACGCGGCAGAAATAAACATTGAATAGGGTTCATCTCTGAAGACACGTTAAACCTGTGGTCACTAACACTAATATGTACGAGTTAACTGCCTGACGAGGTGGAGATGTCTAGTGGAAGTGTCAGGTGGAGGTGTCTAGTGGAAGTGTGGTGAGGTGTCAGTGGAAGTGTCAGGTGGAAGTGTCAGGTGGAGTGTCTAGTGGAAGTGTCAGGTGGAGGTGTCTGGTGGAAGTGTCGGTGGAGGTGTCTAGTGGACGTGTCAGGTGGAGGTGTCTAGTGGGAGGTCAGGTGGAGGTGTTGGTGGAAGTGTCAGGTGGAGGTGTCTAGTGACGTCAGGTGGAGGTGTCTAGTGGGAGTGTCAGGTGGAGGTGTCTGGTGGAAGTGTCAGGTGGAGGTGTCTAGTGGAAGTGTCAGGTGGAGGTTGGAAGTGTCAGGTGGAAGTGTCAGGTGGAGGTGTCTAGTGGAAGTGTCAGTGGAGGTGTCTGGTGGAAGTGTCAGGTGGAGGTGTCTAGTGGACGTGTCAGGTGGAGGTGTCTAGTGGGAGTGTCAGGTGGAGGTGTCTAGTGGAAGTGTCAGGTGGAGGTGTCTGGTGGAAGTGTCAGGTGGAGGTGTCTAGTGACGTGTCAGGTGGAGGTGTCTAGTGGGAGGTCAGGTGGAGGTGTCTGGTGGAAGTGTCAGGTGGAGGTGTCTAGTGGAAGTGTCAGGTGGAGGTGTCTAGTGGACGTGTCAGGTGGAGGTGTCTAGTGGACGTGTCAGGTGGAGGTGTCTGGTGGAAGTGAGTAAGATAACAGACTTTGTATTTATACCTCGTAATCCTTGACGTTCATTACATTTCATATTTTATTAAGTTATTTACGTATATTATTATCCACAAACATAACATTCTCGAAAATCTTACCTTGGCTCGAGAGATTGTAATCATTATTTTTATTTTGGGGGAATTTGATTACCAATACTTCCGAGCCTAGCTGAAGTGTGTGTGTGTGTGTGTGTGTGTGTGTGTGTGTGTGTGTGTGTGTGTGTGTGTGTGTGTGTGTGTGTGTGTGTGTGTGTGTATGGCTTCCTGTATTGGTCACATAACAAATAGCACTATAAGGGCATCTAGTCTTATTTTGTATCACACAGACGCCATATGTTTCTCAATGACATGTTGCTTCGCTCCAAATAGGTTAGGTTAGCTTAGGTTAGGTTAGCTTAGGTTAGGTTAGGTTAGCTTAGCTTAGGTTAGGTTAGGTTAGGTTAGGTTAGGATCAACGTTAAGCATTGATCTGATCGTCTATAGTTTCTCTTAAGTATATCTTACATTTATTTGTAACTGTAACTCTATACTCGATGTTGAATTTTTGATTAAGCACCTTCAGCGCTAACCTATTCTAATCCACCCTAAGATAGTCTAATCTAACGTATTTTTATATAAGTTAACCTAACCTAAACCTACTATAATCCAACCAAATCTGAACCTAACCTAACCAACTATAACCTAACCTAACCAAACCTCACTATCGGAGGTACAGTATAGCATTAGGGTGTTTAATCATTTTAGGTAAAGAAGAATAAGCTAAGGCGCCTAATCTTCACGTGATATCCTCTTCTTTGTTGTTAACCTGTCCTGTCACTCACCACCTCCCAGAATACAATGCACATCAAATTTTTTTTTTGAGAATTAAAACAAAATAATAATAATAATAAAATCTAATAATGAATTTTTTCGAGAAATTAAAAGATGAAGAAGAAGAAGAAAAAAAAACATCTTTAACAATGATCGTCTTCGTCTCTGTAAATAAATTCTACATCTGACAGTTTTAAAAGACCTTGAAGGAAAGAAGGTGTTTAATGGGCTTCTTATGTAATATTTTGTTCAACTGGATTTACTGTGTGTGTGTGTGTTTGTGTGTGTGTGAATTATATCATATTAAATATACTGTGGACCTACACTGTATTCATTCATGGGGGGGAGGGGGGCATAATCACGCTTTATATATCTGTCTGTCTCTGCCCCTTGTCTATCTATTCTGTATATATATCTATTCATCTATCTATCTTATTGCCATTAAGGATTTAGACAACGCGATGGACACTGAAAATATGGTGTATAATTTTTCCCTATTTGGTCTCTGAGAATAGGTATAATTATTGGTATTTTAGGAGTGAGAGCAGAGTAGACCTGGAATAGTGAGAGGTAGAGAGAGGAAAGAGGTGTGGGTGGAGTTTATTAGGGCTGAGAGAAGGAGAGAGAGAGAGAGAGAGAGAGAGAGAGAGAGAGAGAGAGAGAGAGAGAGAGAGAGAGAGTGTTCACGGGGTGGGCGCGTACCTTCCTTCGCCCTCCCTCCCCTTACTGTTGGTGTTATTACCTCGATATTATTATGGCTTCGTGCCAACTGCCTCACTTGTGACTCACGGAGATGCCAGTACCCAGGGGCAGGGGAAGGGGGGCGTGGGAGAACTTGAGGTGAGGTTGGAGGTGAGGACAGGTGAGTGTGTTGTGTTCAGTGACAGGACACAGTCACTACTACAACCTACCCTGTGGTGGTGTCGGGAGTGAAGTGTGGCGCACGGGCCAACACCCATTGACGACCTTACGACCTTAACGATCACTGGCCGAGAGAGAGGATGTTTGGCGCCAGCGTTGCTCTCTCATGCCACGGTGTATTGAGTATTTGATCCGAATATATTTAATTTATATCCTACTTTATCCATATTATCACTGCTCCATTAAAGAAAAAAGTGCCATTAACCTTGTGTCATGTCTCATTAACACAATACTTAATACAAGGAGAAATTACTGTACTTGTCTTTCCACCTAAATAAATAACAAACGCGTATTAGTCCCATTACAATATTAGATCATTTACAACCTTCTCAATTAAACTTTAAACCTCCCGCCTCCAACATGGCCGCTATACTTCAAAAGCAGCGAGGAGTGTAGTGGGGATTGATCGGTGTCTCAGGTGTTGTGTGTTTAACCTCACCGTAATGTAGTGATTAACGTACAATACCACCTTATACCTGTAGTGTCAGTATATTAACGTACAATACCTGTAGTGTCAGTATATTAACGTACAATACCTGTAGTGTCAGTATATTAACGTACAATACCTGTAGTGTCAGTATATTAACGTACAATACCTGTAGTGTCAGTATATTAACGTACAATACCTGTAGTGTCAGTATATTAACGTACAATACCACCTTATACCTGTAGTGTCGTATTTAACGTACAATACCACCTTATACCTGTAGTGTCAGTATATTAACGTACAATACCACTATACCTGTAGTGTCAGTATATTAACGTACAATACCACCTTATACCTGTAGTGTCAGTATATTAACGTACAATACCTGTAGTGTCAGTATATTAACGTACAATACCTGTTGTGTCAGTATATTAACGTACAATACCACTTATACCTGTAGTGTCAGTATATTAACGTACAATACCACCTTATACCGTAGTGTCAGTATATTAACGTACAAACCACCTTATACTTGTAGTGTCAGTATATTAACGTACAATACCTGTAGTGTCATTATATTAACGTACAATACCACCTTATACCTGTAGTGTCAGTATATTAACGTACAATACCACCTTATACCTGTAGTGTCAGTATATTAACGTACAATACCTGTAGTGTCATTATATTAACGTACAATAACCTTATACTTGTAGTGTCAGTATATTAACGTACAATACCACCTTATACCTGTAGTACAACGTACAATACCACCTTATACCTGTAGTGTCAGTATATTAACGTACAATACCAC